AACAAAAACCATGTAAATGAACAAGTGTCTGATGCCCCAGAGCTGTCCTTACTCTAATAAATATTGATGCTCCTTCTTGAACTCTTGGTCTCTAAGGATTTTCCTGCACAAAGCTCCACTTCTAATTGAATGTTTGTGGGTTACCTCTCCTGTTCTACCCACAACCACTGTAGAATTTAAAACATACAGTTTTCACAAGAAAGAAAAAAGGCCTTCAGGGGATTCTCCTGTACTAGAAACAAATGTGAGATTAAATGGGGCAAAGAAGGAAAATGGAGAAGGGAATGACAAAGAGAGGAAGAAAATCCAAGTACAGTTCCGTTTTGTTTAAAGAAACAAGTTAGGGGCTGGGAAGGTGGCTCAGTGGTGGAGTGCTTGCCTTGCATGCCTGAGGCCCTGGGTTCCATTCCTCAGCACCACATAAGCAAAAAGAAAAAGGCCAGAAGTGGTGCTGTGGCTCAAGTGGTAGAGTGCTAGCCTTGAGCTGAAGAGCTGAGGGACAGCTCCCAGGCCCAGAGTTCAGGCCCCATGACCGGACCCAAAAATAAATAAATAAATAAATAAAAATAAAGATACAAGTGACTTCAAAATAAGTTAATTTGCCTACAGAAGTCCCTACAAAGGTATCAGTGATGAATGTTGTTTTAAGCAAACTCACTTTCTCCATGCTGAAAGGATTTGGTGGTCACACAGGTTTTACTCATTAATATAGACAAAGCAAGATGAAAGAAAAGAGAGGGAGGGAAAAAAAAGCCTGTGGCTTATTTTTCTAACATTCTCAATGACTCCTACTCTGATAATCTAGGTTACCCTTTATGTTACCCCAGATATAAATAGCATTCATTTCCTTTCACAGGCCAGCAGACTTTAATGCTTTGTCTCCAGAAAGAGAAAAAATACTCATAAATGCATTTCATTCACGATGTGTGTTCCCACAACGCTGGTTCACCTTTAATCAATAATGAAATTAAAATGGAAGCTCCACTTCAAAAGAAAAAGATGTATTTGAAACCACCACTTTGATAAATTTTCCCACAACAGCCCACAAGAGACTTTTGAGTAGCAGTTACCCTTCCAGTGTAAGGCTCAGATTCCTGCAAGAGCACACTCCAGGTCTTTGGTGGTACCCAGGATGCAAAGCAGATTAACTGTTTACAGAATGTCTTAGATGAGTACTCAGTCCAACATAGGATTCCCAGTAGGGTTTGTCTAGGTAAGAGGATCTAGTTGCCAGATAGCAGCAACAAGGCATTGCTCTCAAGTCAGAAAAATCCACCCAAAGTCAGCAGTAATAAAAGAAGTGAACAGAGGTGCTGGTGGCTCATGCCTGTAATCCTACCAATCCTAGATCTGAAGATCCCCAAAGGATCTAAGACTCATTTCCAAATTATCACCAGAAAACTAGAAGTGGCGCTGTGGCTCAAAGTAAAGTGCTAGCCTTGAGCAAAAGACCAGGCCCAGGAGTTCAAGCCCCATAACTGACCAAAAAAAATGTATTTTTTAAAATTTTTTTAAGTGAAGAAACAGAAAAGCTCCTACCTAAAAGAGCTACAAACCAATACCAGTGCAAGATTTTAGCAGCTACGATAGAACAGAAGAGCTGGGCACCAGTGGCTCACATCTAATACTAGCTACTCAGGAAGCTGAGATCTGAAGACTGCGGTTCTAAGCCAGTCCAGGCTTGGAGATTCTTATCTCCAACTAACCAGCAAAAGGCCAGAAGAGGAGCATCAACCTTAGCCAAAAAAGCAAAGGGTGAGTGCCCTGGCCCTGAGTTCAAGCCCTAGGACCAACATGAGAAAAAGAAAGAGGGAGGGAGAGAGGGAAGAAGGGGAGGAGGGGGCGCAAAAGAATCAGATAAACAAGTTGAACCATTGTATCTCATTTCCAGATCACAGCTTAGCTTTTGCAAACAGACCTGACTTTAAAATAGGAGTTTTATCAGAAACTAGCTCCATTTCCTTTTTCCACTATCATCTCCACTCAATTCACCCTAATACTCTTTAAATTCAGCAGAGACAAGTCAAATAAATGAATTGACATTTTGGAAAGAATCAATAAAACAAACTTATCTATCAGGGTGAAGGTAAGGAATGAAATCAGATTCACCATGTCCCCCAAATACCTTGGCCTTCAGATGCTCTTGCCCTTGGCTCACTCTATCAGTACCACCATCCTGCTGCCCTGCTCCTATGGCCTGTCTGCTCTATTTATACACTATCAGACCCCTGCCTGTCAGAATGCCAGTTCCTGGGAAGGAGGACTGCCTAGTTTCTTCTGCATTGTGCAACAAACAGCACTTGGAGCAGCTCCCCCACCCCCACCTTTCTCCCACCCCCCCACCCCCCGCCCCATCAGGTGCCAATACTGGGGCTTGAACTCAGGGCCTAGGAGCTGCCCTTCAGCTTTTTTACTCAAGGCTAGCATTCCACCACTTGAAAGCCACAGCTCTACTTCTGAGTTTTGGTGGATAATTGGAGATAAGAGTCTCATGGAGGGCTAGGAAGATGGCTCAGTGGTTGAGCACTTGCCTTGCATGCCTGAGGCCCTGGGTTCGATTCCTCAGCACCACATAAGTAAAATGAAAAAAGCTGGAAGTGGCGCTGTGGCTCAAGTGGTAGAGCGCTAGCTTTGAGCTGAGGGACAGTGCCCAGGCCCGGAGTTTAGGCCCCATGACAGGACCCAAAAAAAAAAAGAGTCTCATGGACTTCTCTGCCCTGCCTGGCTTGGAACCACAGTCCTCAGATTTCAGCCTCATGAGTAACTAGGATTATAGAGGCGAGCCACCTTAGCCCAGCTTGGAACAGCCTCTTGCCTTGGCTTGGTTCCCCAGGCTACTGGAAAGAGGGTATTTTGGTCATTTGTATATAGGAATTGGAACCTGGACCTCCACTCAGGTGGCCCAAAGGGTTTCTCTTATCTGTTGAAGAAGCACATTGCTCCACTGAGACCATAGCAATTTGGAAACACAGATGGCCCAAAGAGAAATGGGGACTTGGTTTGATACCATGCTAATCATTTTAAGAGGAGCAACTTGGCAGTTCTTATTATATTACCATTTATTGTAGGAACAAATGCTTTCAAACTAATAATTCCTCTGCTGTGCTTGGATAGTTTGCCTATTGTGAAAGTAAATCCAATACTCTGGGATCCCTACACTTTGCTCACCCAGGGGCCAAAACAACTGGCTTTCAAGTTGGGCACCTGTAGCTCATGCCTGTAATCCTAACTATTTAGGAGGCTGAGATCTAAGAATCATGGCTCAAAGCCAGCGCATGCAGGAAAGTCCATGAGACTCATCTCCAATTAACCACCAAAGAGCTAGAAGTAAAGCTGTGGCTCAAGTGGAAGAGCACTAGCCCTGAGAAAAATAAGCTAAGAACCGTGGCCAAGCCATGAGTTCAAACCCCAGGTCTGGAGGGGGGAGGTGGGGAGAATTGGGTTCAGAGCTGTTTGGCCTGATATTCTAGGGAAGACATCATTCTAGTAAGGAAATAGGTAAAGCGTTCCAGCAGTCTGAGTCTAGCCCACTGGCTTTAAAGAAGTAGAACTCACCTCTTTGTGTAGCCATTGGGTCTGTTCTCCTCTGCCAATTATCTGGATCCTGGCAGCCTTTCATGAAGGGCAATGAGAGGGCCTGCTCTTAAACTCTCTTCACATGTGCTAGCACATCTCGGAGTATCATGGAAACTGAAGCAATAGCTATCTCAAGACCAACTCTTCAAGTGAACTCTGAGATAAACCCAAGAGAGATGGAAACTATCAGCATATCTGGCCCTTGAATCGCATCTTGTGCTAGCCACAGTGAAGAAAAAGCCTAAGTGCTGAGGAAGTCCTCAGCTGGCCTCATTTCCTCTCCTTTTACAAACTCTTACTCAACCTGTCACCCTTCCCTACCCCTCATAGTTTCCAAGCCTTGTAAGAGCACAACTACTTGACAAGACTCTTGATCGCTGACGTAGAACAGAGTAGAGTGGTACAAATAGGTACAAGTGGTTATGCCAAAGCTGGCGTGAAACAAGTGCTTCATGGGCACACCCTGGGGACAAAAACCACCAGGGAGCCCTTGGGGGAAGGAATCAGGTCTGCAAACTGACCCAAATTTCAGCCCTGAGTCTCTGGCTCTCCAAAAGCACAGACACCTAACTCAACAATCTGCCTTTTGTGCAACATAGCATTAACCACCAAGGGCTGGATGTCAAAACCAAACAACAAAAAAAACCTTGACCTATTTACCTGAAGCTTCTCCTGGCTTCCAGTCCTAGGACAGCTCCCCCGGACTCCAGCTCGGTGCATGGCCCCATCCAGAAAACCCAGGGTAGAACCTCAGAACACACTGCACCTCATCCAGAGGCACACACGGTCACGGTCGTGTGCACACCCTCCAAACACACCCTCCAAACTCAGATCAGGACCGAAGAGCACGCTCAGCTAGAAAAACTGAGGCCCAGAAAGAGGCCGCGAGCGGCGCCGGGACACAGCGAGTCTGACAACACTGCTTTGCTAAGACCCCCAAATATTCCTCAGCACCCCATTATCACCGGACGCCCCCCCCCCCCATCATGCCCGACTGAGGTTCTCCACAGAACCTCCGTCCCAATGTCTCCACCTCCCGTAGGGCCCAAAGCTCGGTCTTCGCCCCACGCGTCCACCTGCTAACTCGCACGCCCAACCTACCCGAAGGCCCGGCCTCATGCCTCCCACGACCGAGCCTCCCCCTGTCCCCTCCTAAGTCCCGCTTGCCATCCCTCGCCGTACCTGCAGAGTCGCACTCCCGAGAGCCGGCGGCGGCGGACATTTCCCTGCCAGCTTCCTCAAGCTCCTCATCCCGCCGCCCGCCCGCGTGCTCCGCCCACCCCAGACGAGCCCGCCCCCGCGTGCCACTCCCGCCAATCGAAATTACGTTTGACTCACAGCCCCACCCCCAAACAGAACTAACCCCGCCCCCTGATACCTGCTATCCTCGAATCCCCACTTTCCTTTCCAAGATGGATACCTGCCTCCGCCAATTGCCGCGCACCAGGGTGAGGTACCCGGGGCCGTGTTCCAACCGCGTGCTGTGGCAGCCTCTGGCGCTGGCTCCACACACTTGTATCGGGATAGCCAGAGGAACTCAGGATCCGGGGTCGCAGGATCGAAGCCTGTGTCAGGAACAAGGAGCACAGTCTGAACCACGGGCTTGTGTTCTGGGAAGAATCTTCAACTCCGTTGCCCCTGGGCACAGCGTGAGTCTGAGGCCCAAATGCAGTAACGTGCTCTGACCCAGAGAGCCTGCCATTACTCCAGCCTCAAAGAACTGCGCGCTAAGGTCTGTGCTCCATCTATGTATATATATAGATATAGATAGCTTTGTGAGCTAGGAAACGCTTCCAATTTTATATGCGAGGTGACTGCGTTCAGAGAGGTAAAGTCCAGAGTCAGAATCAGGGGTGCATGAATCAGAAGTTAGCATGTTAGAGTAGGTTGGCGCATTAACGTGTAACCTCCGTCTGCAGTTTGCAAGCCACCCCAGGGACATACGCTCTGAGTCAAATGCACGCAAAATAGACTATCAGTGCTGGTCCTCTGGATCCATCTTAACTACCTCTCCTTCCTAGAAGCTCTTGAGCCTCACTTGCTTCCAACTCATAACCGGGTCAGTCTGACTTTAAAACACTTGATAGAAACCCTTCTCCTATCCTGCATATTTGCTTGTGGAGCTACATAAAGTTGATCCAACAGAATTGGACTTGCAAGGACATCAGAAATGGAAAGACCTGGGCTTCTGTCCTGGCTGTGACAGGACAGCACTTTTTAACATTTCTATATACTGACCTATATCCAGTCTCATCTAATCCAAAAACAAAACAAAACAAAATCCACCTTGGATTGTTATGTAAGACATGTTTATATTTCCATTGTGCAAATCAGAAAGCCAAGATGTGGGTCCGGTGCAGGTGGCTCATGCCTGTAATCCTAGCTACTCGGGAGATTGAGATTTGAGGATCGTGGTTTGAAGCCAGTCCAGACTTTAAGTCCATGAGATTCTTACCTCAAATTTACTACCAAAAAGCTGTAAGTAGAGCTGTGTTTGAAGTGGTAAAGCAACAGCCTTGAATGAAAAAGCTAAGCATCAATGCCCAGGCCCTGAGTTTAAGCCCTAATAAAGGCAGAATAAAAGAGAAGGGGGGCCGGCCGGGCACCAGTAGCTTACACCTGTAATCCTAGCTACTCAGGAGGCTGAGATCTGAGGCTCACGGTTCAAAGCCAGCCCTGGCAGGAAAGTCCTTGAAAATCTTATCTTCAGTTAACCACCAGAAAACCAGAAGTGGCACTGTGGCCCAAGTGGTAGAGTGCTCACCTTGAGCTGAAAAGCTGAGGAACAGAGGGTAGGGCCAGAGTTCAAGCCACACTACCAACAAGAGAGAGAGAAAGAGTAAAACAGGAGAGACAGAAATAGTATAGACTTCCTGCTAGTTACTGGAAATGGGATGTGAACCCCAGAGCAGCTAAGAGACCTACAAGACAGATGCTAAAGAAGAAAAAGAACTTATCCATGACTTTAAATTACTTTCAACATTTATATACTATTACCTATAATTCAGTCTTATCAGATCCACCCTAAAAAAGTGGGGTGTCAGTGGCTCATGACTGTAAGCCTAGCTACACAGGATGCTGACATCTGAGGATCACGGGTCAAAGTCATCTTGTGCAGAAAAGTTCATGACATTATTATCTGCAATTAAGCAACAAAAGAGAAAAGTTGGAAATGGGGTTGTGGCTAAAGTGGTAGTATACAACCCTTGGGGATAGCACGCACACTTTGAGATCAAGCCCCAGGACCTGCACACACAAAAAAAAACCTTGGATTGTTAAATCATCCTTGACTTCTCTCCTCTATTCATACAGCTCTGTCCATCCATTTAACAAACATTTGTTAAGTGGCTAGTCACTGTTCTAATCAGTTTTAAAGTTGTCAACACCAAACCAAATTCACAGCTCCCAAGGCAATTTCACTGTCCTCAGTAGAGCCTCCTTAGTACTTCTCCAGCCCATCTTTCCTTCCCAATCTCCCAGTCCTATCCCATGGCCAATTCCCTACTCTCAGCCTCATTCCAAATGCCTGTAGCACTGTAATACATTCCTGTTGATCTCCTCATTCCAGGCTCCTCCTTTCTATGGTTTTTATCAGGGGAGCTTTTCTAATTTCCCAATCTTGCCTAACCACTCCCCAGTTTTCCTTAAGAGCTCTCCACAAGGGCAGAGTCCAAGTTCCTTGTTATTTATTTCAGGCTCTTCAAGAGCTGCCCTCTGCTGGTCTCTCCTGCCCAGCTCTCTCCACAGCTTTTCCAAGATCAGTCCAGCCTGCACTCCTCCCTCTCATTGCATGCCCTTTTCCCTCATAGCCTGGGGGGGGGGGAGGGAGAGGGGGAACAGAGGAGGAAGGGATTCTCTTGTTCTTCTAAGCTTTAACACCATCTCTTTCATCAAGGCCTCCTAGAGCTGTTCACACACAGAGACTGAGACAGAGAGAGACCAAATAAGGAAGAACAAGAGCAAAACAGTTGAAAACTCAGACTCTGGAGTAAGACTCAGCTAAGCTTGTTCATCCTGGCTCTCCACAGTGTACCGGCTGTGCACTCAGGAAAAGCACCTACTGTCTTGGAGCTTCAGTTTCCTTATCTGTAAAATGGAGACCTTGATAATACTAACCGTGAAGGCTGTGGTAAGTATTAAATGTGATCATTTGTTTAAAAAAAAAAAAAGGTTTTAGAATGGTGTCTAACACATAAGTCCAAGAAGGAGAAAATATTTTCTGAGTTGTTGCTATCTGGATGGGAACTTTCACATGTGTTCTTTCTTTCTTATTTGTTGGCTGTGAGGGTTGAACTCAGGGCCTAGGTGCTGTCCCTGAGCTTTTCCTGCTCAAGGCTAGTGCTCTGCCACTTTGAGCCACAATACCACCTCTGGTTTTCTGGTGGTTTATTGGAGGAGATAAGTCTCATGGACTACCAGGGCTGGCTTCAAGCTACCATCATCCTCAGATCTCAGCCTCCCAAGTAGCTAAGATTACAGGCATGAGCCACCAGCACCTGATTCACGTGTGTTCTTTCTTTTAATTCTCACAACTCCATGAGGGATATTCATGACATGTAGAAGATTACCAGAATGAAGGTCCAGAAAAGTGAAGTGGTTTGCCAAAGTCACACAGCTAGGGACTGTCAGAAATGGATTTCAAGTCAAAGAGGCTGTCTCCTTGCTCTTACAGGTTGGCTATCCTTTCCAAAACACTTATAACCAAAAGTGCTTCAGTAGGTTTTAGAGCTGATGGCTCCAGATGCCTATGGCTCATGCCTATAATCCTACCTACTCAGGAGTCTGAATGCTGAGAACTACATTTCAAAGCCAGCCTAAGTAGGAAAGTTTATGAGGCTCTTATCTCCAATTAGCCAGCAGAAACCCACAAGTAGAGCGGTGGCTCAAGTAGTAGAGTGCCAGCCTTAAGTAAAAAAGCTAAGGGACAGTGCCCAGGCCCTGAGTTCAAGCCCCAAGACTGGTACCAAAACCGGGGGGGAGGGGGGGCGGGCGCACCTGGGAATGTGGCTTAGTGGTAGAGTGCTTGATCAGCATACATGAAGCCCTGGGTTTTATTCCTCAGTACCACATAAACAGAAAAAGCTGGAAGTGGCAGTGTGGTTCAAGTGGTAGAGTGCTAGCCTTGAGCCGTAGTGCCCAGGCCCTAAGTTCAAGCCCCAGGACTGGAAAAAAAAAATGTGCATAAAACAAACTTTGATGGTGTGGTATTTTCTACTTGTTGGCATCATATTGGCACTTAAAAAGTTTTGGGGTTTTAGAGCATTTCAGAGTTTGGATTTCCAGATTCAGGATGCTCAACTGGTATTACTGTTACTATCCCTCCTAAAACCATTACTAATAATCATTAAATGATAGTAATTATTTTATTTTTTTTTATTTTTTGCTGGTCATGGGGCCTGAACTCTGAGCCTGGGCACTGTCCTTCAGCTCCTCAGGTCAAGATTAGTGCTCTACCACTTAAGCCACAGAGCCACTTCCAGCTTTTTCTGCTTATTTGGTGCTGAGGAATTGAACGCAGGGCCTCATGTATGCAAGGCAAGCACTCTACCATTGAGCCACCTTCCCAGCCCAAGTAATTATTTTAAAATTTAGAAATAAATGTTCGCCAGGCACTGGTGGCTCAGGCCTGTAATCCTAGCTACTCAGGAGGCTGAGATCTGAGGATCTCGGTTCAAAGCCAGCCAGGGCAGAAAAGACCATGAGACTCCTATCTCCAATAAACCACTAGAAAACTGGAAGTGGGGCTGTAGCTCAAGTGGTAGAGTGCTCGCCTTGAGCTGAAGAGCTGAGGGACAGGGCCCAGACCCAGAGTTCAAGTACCACAACTGACAAAAAAATTAAAAATAAATAAATGTTCCCCTGCTTATAGAATAAATTTTAAACTCCTTAGCCACCCACTCAAAGCTTTATGTTCTTGTTTCTACTTTCTTTCCTCCACCCAGAAGCCAGTTTGCCAGTTCTTCCTGGCACACCTGAGCCCTCAAGCCTCAGGCTTGAGACCAATATACAATCACACAAGGCCAAGCTTTCCCCTTACACCCCCTCCCCCAACACAGAGACTAGATATTGGCCTGAAACAACTAATGCCACTGAGTGAACACCTGAGCCCCAGCACCTGGTGGCTTAAATTTGCATGTTCTGTAATTGGTTCTCTCCTCCTCACAAACTCTCCTTTACCTCCAATCAAAACAAATGCTGTCTAGAAGCCTCTAACCTTTTGCTGCAAAGCCAAAGCTAGACCATTTTCTCAGCTGTAGTGAGGGATAGAGCAGGGTTCAAGAGCAAGAGAACCCACATGACAGGCTTCTCTTGATTCCAGCTATGAGTGGCAGAGAGAAGATGGGCCTCTAGAATCTGCTGGCCGTGCTAACTTGTAAGAAATTCTGCCACAAGGGCTGGGATGTAGCTCAGTGGCAAAGCGCTTGCCTAGCAAGTGCAACGTCCTGGGTTCGATCCCCAGTACCAAAAAAAAAAAAGAAAAGACAAAAAAATACAGTTAAAAAAAAAAAAAAAAAGAAATTCTGCCACAAAGTCACAACCCATACTCTGCAGCCCTGCTTAGAGCCAGAAGAACTAAAGTGCTCTACAGTAGTTAATGCTTGGGTCCAATGCTATATAGTTCATGCTTAGATCCAAAAACCTTAATGCAGAAACACAAATACCATGGCTTGCATACAGTCTGGGAGTGTCACCATTCCATGCCAGGAAACTTGGGAGGGCCACAGAAATTGTAATGTATGAGTTCAAAAGTTAGAAAGTGGACTAGAGTGAGCAGGTCTGTGCCCCAGCCAGTAGATACCCACCCTGTGAGCCTTAGGTCTTACTTACTTGGACAGGCCCTGGTGACTTCCTGGAGGAACATCCTAGTGTGTGAACCAAAGGGCAGTTGGAATACAAGGCTGAGCTTTGCTGTGTCCAGCTGAACAGTCACATCTGAACCTACAGAAGGAGCAGGAAATGAGCCCTTGGCCACCAGGAGTGAAGAGTTAATTTTTTTTTTTAAATTTTTGCCTGTCCTAGGGCTTGAACTCTGGGCCTGGACGCTGTCCCTGAGCTCCTTTTACTCAAGGCTAGCACTCTACCACTTTGAGTCCCAGTGCCACTTCTGATTTTCTGGTGGTTAATTGAAGATAAGAGTCTCACAGACTTTCCTGCTAGGTTTAGCTTCAAACCATGACCCTCCAGTCTCAGCCTCCTGAGTAGCTAGGCTTATAAGTATGTGCCTGGCTCTTAGATTAATTTTAAGTATGGAGTCCCTAGAATAGAGAATTTAGCCCTGGCTCCAGACGGTCCTTTGACTACTACTGCTGATAGGACAATAAAGGATAAAGGAACCCTTTGGCCCCTCAGTTCCAAATGAGCTCCCACTTTTCAGAGGGAGCTCAAGACTCTGAAAAGTCAATACGCCTCACTACTGCATTGCATGGTTCCAGCAGAGACAAGTTCTCTGGAGCTGTAGTCCTTCCGTCACCACCCTCACCCCATGCAGGATGAACAGCACATAGAGGTGGGACTAGGAGAACAGTCCATGAGTTGGTCTTCCTGGAAGTCCCAAGCTCTTTGCTAAGGCACAGTCAAGAAAACAGATGTGAGTCTATCTTCAGAGAACTAGACTAGGAAGCTCCTTATACGTATCATATGCTCAGCCCAAGGTGAGCACTTGAAAAAAGAAAAAAAAATAAAAAGAATGGACAGAAGCCATGTAGCAGAGTGATAAGAGTTAAATGATAGGCTGGGAATGTGGTTTAGTGGTAGAGTGCTTGCCTAGCATGCATGAAGCCGGGAGTTTAATTCCTCAGTACCAGTAAACAGAAAAACCTGGAAGTGGCACTGTGGCTCAAGTGATAGAGTGCTATCCTTGAACAAAAGAAGCTCAGGGACAGTGCCTGAGTTCAAGTCCCAGGACTGGCAAAAAAGAAAGAGAGGGCCGGGGAGGGAGAGAGGGTTCTGGCACCCTGGGCATGACAATGCACAAATGTTATCCCAACTATATGGGAGACACAATGGCTGGGCCTAGTGGCATGTACCTGCCATCCCAAATGACACAGGGTAGCACAGTAAGAGGACCACAGTCCAGGCTGGTTGGACATAAAGCAACACCCTATCTTGAGATTGCCTGCCTAACAAATGTGAGGCCCTAAATACACTCTTCATTACCACCAAAAAAAAATTTAAAAGTAGGGGCTGGGAAGGTGGCTCAGTGGTAGAGTGCTTGCCTTGCATGCATGAGGTCCTAGGTTCGATTCCTCAGCACCACATAAGCAGTAAAAGCCGGAAGTGGGGCTGAGGCTCAAGTGGTAGAGCGCTACTCTACAGCTGAAGAGCTGAAGGACAACGCCCAGGCCCAGAGTTCAGGCCCCACGACCGACCCCCCCCCCCAAAAAAAAATTAAAAAGTATAGGCTTCAGACTCTGGATTCTGAGTTTGAATCCTGGTTCCACTAAGTACTAATTTTTTTAATTTCCCTGCACCTCAGTTCCTTTATCATAAAATGGAGATGAAAACAGCAATAATCTCATATCACAGAGATTTATTTATAGATCTTGCCAAATCTGAGATGAAAACAGTGATAATCTCATATCACAGAGATTTATAGGTCTTGCTAAATCTTTTTTTAATTAAAGGCCCCAACATAGCTTCTGTTTTTGAACTTTTTAGACAGATAGTCTACCACTTGAACACCAACCTCTCAATCTTGCCAAATTTTGTGTATAAAACTTTTAGCAGATAACTTGGCAGAAGATAATCACTGATTAAACATTCACCTCTATTATTATTGCCTAGCAAAGAAATCAGACATTATTTAAGTGAAAACAAATAATTAAATTCCTATGAGTTACAGAGGGCTGGTTAGGATGAGAAAAGACACAAATCAGTGAGAGAAAAGCAATTTCAGAGCTTTGTCAAAGACTTCCTGGGAGCTGGAAGGCATGTGCCTCACACTATATAGCTCATGCCTCTAATCCTAGCTACTCAGGAGGCTGAGACCTGGAGATCACAGTTTTCCAACTGGAGCAGGAAAGTTCATGTGACTCTTAGCTCCAATCAGCTACTAACAAAACCAAAAGCGAAGCTGTGTCTCAAGTGGTAGAATGCCAATCTTGAGCACAAAAGCTCAGGGAAAGCGCCCAGGCCTTGATTTCAAGCCTTGGATAAGCAACAAAAAAAAGAAAGACAGAAAGAAAGAGAGAGAAAAGAAAGAAAGAAAGAAAGGAAGGAAATAAAGAAAGAAAGAAAATGTGTGAAATGAAATCTGGAAGGTACAACTATCCATGGAAAAAGTGTCTAGGTGTAGGAAGGAGGAACCTCTGCCATTAGATTATGTGATGTCTCAGATGACTGAAGCCTTCCAGAGGATTCCAGTGCAGCAAGCCTGTGGAACAATGATAGAGATGAGCCGCAAGAGGTGGGTGGACAGGGCTATATCTGTATAGTCTTATTACCACAATAAGAATAGTGGGAGCCAGAAGTGATGTACTAATGGCTCACTCCTGCAATCCTAGCTACTTAGAAGGCTGAGATCTGAGGATTGTGGTTCAAAGTGAGCCCAGACAGGAAAGACTATGTGATTCATCTTCAATTAACCACCAGAAAAACAGAAGTGGCACTGTGACTCAAAGTAATAGAGCACTAGCCTTGAGTGAAATCGATCAGGGACAGCATCCAGGACTGAATTCAAGCTCCACAACAGACAAAAAAAAAAATTTTTTTTAATAGTGGAGTTGTTCTTATTTCATACCATTCCTCTCTGTTTGAAAATAGTCCTCCCCTTATTCTCCACTGGGACCCAGACTGACAGGACCACTCACCAAGGATGTAGAGTTCACCATCTGGGGATACTGTGGGAAAGGAAAATGAGAAGTCTTTAGCAACTGAGGACCCCTGTCCCCTGACCCCACACACACATACACACAAGAACAGAGAAACCTAGAGGGGGAGAGCTCCCAGAGGAGAGGGATTCATACCACCCAACTTCCTGTGGCACCTTCTTCCAGTGTAAAATCCCGAGAGACTGGTATAATCTGATCCAAAGAGACATCATCCCCTGTAATGGCCATCCTCCGGTGTGTGTACAGGAAGAGACTAAGGGCAGAAAGCAGAAATGAGAACAGAACCCACTGCCCATACCATGGAGCCCCGAGCGCTCATGCTCTCTCAGTCCTTCTGTCCTGGTAGTAGCCTGGCTGGACCCACTTCTCAACCTCTGACCACAATGACCTTGAAGGGTACAATTTATGAATGAAGGGCTGGGAAGGTGGCTCACTGGTAGACTGCTTGCTTTGCATGCATGAAGCCCTGGGTTCGATTCTTCAGCACCACATCAGCAAAAAAAAAAAAGCCAGAAGTGGCGCTAGCCTTGAGCTGAAGAGCTGAGGGACAGCACCCAGGCCCAGAGTTCAAGCCCCACGACCGGACCCAAAAAAAAAAAAAATTTATGAATGAAGCCACAAAAGTTGTACTTGTCTCATTTGGAAGAGCACTTCCCTTGTTAGCAAAACACAGCTGATTTGGCCTGGATTGTATGTTACAGGAACTGTGCATGCTTAGCTACCTCCTTTCTTTACCTGAATGTCAGTTCCCCTACCTATAAAATCAGGAGAGTGGATTAGGAAATGTCTAGGGCTCCCCTCCCCCAGCTCTGAGACACTAAGATTCACTTATTAGCTATGAGACCTCTGCCAAGTATTATTCTCTTCTCCTGTGTAATAGGCAGATATTCCCAGGTGACACTTAATGAGCACCTTCTTTGTACTTCATACTGTGTTTAAAACCTTTACATGTACTGACTTACTTTAATCTTTTTGCTCTAGGGGAGGGTGTGCTAGGGACTGAACCCATGGTCTTATACCTACCTGCGCTCTACCACTGAATTATACCCTCATCCCCAATACTCTAATCTTTCATCTGAGAAAAGGGATAAAACAACTTGCCTAGGATTACAATGCCTAGATGTGAATCCAGACATTCTGGCCAGAAGCTCAAGATGTGGACACTGTGATAACTATGTCTTTTCCAGAAGTCTCCTCCATGTCTTGATGATTATATGAGTTAATGCATGCAAAAAGGCTTTAAATATGGTGTTCAAGGAACAATCACTATCATTATCTCTCTCTAGGAGACTTAGACCCAGCCCTGGAGGGATGGCTGAAGTCCAACTGGAGGGTACAGTGAAGTCTGTTATGGCCCAGAAAACCGGGTGCCCAGACCCTATCACTCACGCGTATTCCTGGCCACCATGCTCCAGGCGGTAGCGCACCAACCCCAGCAGGCGGCTCTGCCTGCTGTCTCCCTCACACAGCGTACCTTGTACTGCCTGCTGCTCAGTCAAGGGAAAATCAAAGTCCAGGCCAGGCTGTTCCAAATCCAGTTCACTCCACTAATCCCTGCCTTTTCCTGCCCTGCCCCCCTCCCCAAGGTGTGAGCTTGGATAAGTCATTTCACCTGTGAGCCTTGGTCATTGTGAAATTGGAATTAATAGTTTCCATTATCTCCAGGTTGGAAGTTGCATATTTAAAGCACCTGGCAGAGTGTCTAGGACCAAGTAAGTACTTTAGAAATAAATAGTAGGCTCCTTCTCTTCTGATGGCTAAAAGAGGGGTAAGGGACAGTGACTGACATTGTCCATTCGACTTCTCAAAGCCAGGGCAGGCCCAGCCTGCGGGGAGCTCAAGTTTAGAAAGGATATGATGATGCAGTATTCCCCCTCTGCCAGCGTCTCCTGGATAGCCACAGACTGGTCCATGCTGGATCCTGTTGAGCAGACATGCATGGAGGAGAGTTGATGGAAATTAATTTGGGTCAATTCCATGAGGTGACAGAAGGAGGGGGAGGGCTTTTGAAGAGGAAGGGGGAGGGGGACTTTGTAGAGGAAGAAGAAAAGGCCTGGTCCTTCCCCACAGGTCTTCTCCCTACAATGTGCCTTTGAGTTTCCAGGGTCCCCATCCCTTTTCCTCTGACCATGTCTGATTCATTGTACCACCCACCCTCTGTCTGGGAGGGCATCCAGCTGTTCCTGAGTGGGGACCAGACTTCTTGTTGCAAATAGGAGACCGGGTTCCCATGCTTCTAGGATAGGTCTCGGCCTCCAGGATTGGTCCTCTCTGGGAGAAGGTGATGACATATATGAATATAGTCAGAGAGAGAGACATCTCCCCTTACTCTAGGAAGGGAGAATCCCACCCAAGAAAGAAGCCCAATCCTGTTGGCTCCTTTTTATCTGGAGGCGGGAAAAGCAGCTCGCCCTGTTGTTCTTTGCCCTCACCCCACCCAGCAGGCCCGTTGCATCAGCCTCGGACTAGGGGTGGGCTGTCTGACAGCCGCTGGGCAGGGGTCCCAGCCGTCAGCTTGTCCACTTCCTCTCACTCCGCATCCCCTTATAGCGCCCCCGCCTCCCCCGCCATTGCCACCTACCTCCCCAGCTGTCAACGCTAGGTCCTTGGTACACGGGCTGAGGCCGAGCCAGGAACTACATTTCCCAGCAGCCCCTGGTGCCACAGGACCGCCGGACGGCCTGCAAGTCCCAGCATGCCCGAGTCAGTACTGGGGGCGTCTCCACATCCCTGTTAACTCCGTAGGTCCTGGGATAGCTGGGCTTCCAGTGTTGGGAAACCTCTCTAGTCCATGCCGTATCCTCAGTCCTCCAGATCATCGAACCAAGATTCCTTTCCCCCTCAAAGGGGGAAAAAAATCTCCTCTCCTTAATTCCACTCACTCCCTAGAGGGGATAGTTCTGACCTCTGCTGAGACTCTTTCTCCCTTAAATAACTACCCTATCCACGTGCCCTTGGTAGAGAGATTTGTCTTTTCAGGCTTCATTATCCTCTTCTAAGTTTAGGAAGTTGTTCCAGATGGGCAGGTTAGATAAGAGATTCCTGAAAGGTCTCTCTTGGCCTGTGGGCCATTTGCTAAAATGAGTTTCTTGAGGACTCATCCATTTTGAATAACTGGATCTCAGGACATATTTGTTCAATTAATGAATTATCTTAATGACAACACCTGCTCTCTAGTGATCTCTAATGATCCACAGTGAAAGAGCAGCTGGGCCAGTGGTGGGGAAGGAGTAACTTTTTTTTTCTTTTTCTTTTTGTTATTATAAAGGTGATATACAGAAGGGTTATCGTTACATAACTCAAGTAATGAGTACATTTCTCTTTGGACAATGTCACCCCACCAGTTTCATTTCTAACTAGTCCCCTCCTCTTCCCCTAAAGACTAGTTCAGCCCTTTCCAGAAGCAGATGTTCAATCTTAGTTATTTTCCTGGAAACATTTACTACACTAATGGAGCACAAGCTTATTAGAATTTAGTTTCAAAGTCAAATGGGGGATGCAAGGGAAAGGGATTGATTCCGACTCTTTGAGATTAAGGAGGTAGATGTCAGGGAACCGACCCTGAGGTCTCCTTTTCTTTCTTTCTTTCTTTCCTTCCTTCCTTTCTTTGCTTGCTTTGCTTGCTCTCTTTCTGATACTGGAATTTGAACTCAGGGCCTCTGTTTGTTTGCAAGGCTGGCATTCTACCACTTAAGCCACACACATCCAGTCCCTTTTGGGGGGGAGGGGGCTGGTTATTTTGGAGATGAAGCCTTACAGACTATTCTACCTAGGCTGTCTTTGAACCCCTATTCTCTAGATATCAGCCTTCTGAGTAGCTAGGAGATTATAGGCATGAGCCATTAGTTCATGGCTCTAATCTTCCTCTTAATGTCAAAGGCTTGAACTGAGAGCCTGGGCACTATCCCTGAGTTCTTTTGCTGGTTAATTAGAAATAAGAGTTTCATAGACTTTCCTGCCCAGGCTGGCTTTGAACTGTGATCCTCAGATTTCTGCCTCCTAAGTGTAAGGTCCGCTCCTGGCTGGCTAGCAGACTCCACCCCCCTCGCAGCAAAGTCTCCATCCAGTACCTGCGTTACCTAGGCAACTGGGACACCTGGAAGAGGTCACATCGGCATCCACTGAGGTCACATCTGAATTTGATGTGGCCACACCTTTCTCCACCCATACCCTAGATAAGGCCTAGCCCAGGCCCAGACGCCCTCTTTCCTAGCTCTCTTTCCCACCTCTCTTTCCCAGCTCATTCCTTCTCTTCTCTTTCCCGCTCCCTTCTCTTTCCTAGCTCTTTCTTTCCCACCTTTCCCAGATTCTCTCTTTTCTAGCTCTTTTCTCCTTCTTTCCCAGCTCTCTCTCTCTCCCAGCTCTCTTTCCCAGGCCTTTTCCCCACCACGTGGAGGACCAAGATGGCTTGGTGCCAGCCAGAATGATGAATAAACTTACCCCTTACCTGAATTCCACGTGCGTGGTGCTGTTCTTACTCGACTACCTCTTTTTAAAAACCTAACATTAAGTAGCTAGGATTATAGACATGAAACACCAGTGCCCAGCCAGTTTTTTCATCTATGAAAAGTACCTGGCTGCACCTAGTTTTTCCAGGCCCTCAGTTCAAGCTCTGCAGCTAACAAAAAAACAAAAAGAAAAGACTGTCTTTGAAGGATTCTGGAGTCTCCACTATATAGGAGTTGGGTAGGAAGCTTTCTGTCTTTTGGAGATTTTCCCAGAAAAATCCAAGCCTCTCTTGGGATTGTAAAGAAGGTACTGCCATCTAGATGGGCCCCTGTTCAGGCCTAGGCTATGGAGTAATGAATGAATCCTGTTCACTAAGGATACAGCTACAGGGATCTGAACAGGTGGTTTGGGGGCCTGCAAAGCCTACAGGGTCTTCCTAGATGTTATACCCTGATTCTGTTAAGCCAATAAGATCAGGAGCAAAGAACAGAGGAGCAGTGGTGTGTAAGCAGCCTGGACCCATGACAGGAGGATACTAGTGGGCCCTAAAACTGAGGTTCCCATCCTGAAGGAGTTAGGTATCTGAGACCAAAGTTTGACAGCACTATGAGTAGCTGGGCTGAACCTCAGCCTCATGACCCCTGGGGCTTCCCGCCATGAGGACCTGTCTGCAACTGACAATGTAGTCAGAGCTGCAGATGGGACCATTCATCCTCCCATTATCCCTCTCTTCTCCTCACAGAGGCAGACAGTATGAAATGAAACTTGGGCTGAGCTGCTCCTCACTGGTCTCCTAGCTCCTTTCCCATGAGGTCAGCCAGTCCCCAGAGACCAGTAAGATCAGGAACAAGTAGGCATAGCATGGAGATGTGAAAAATTCTAGCTGTGGCCCTGGGCTTTGACATTATGTAGAGCTGAGAAAGTCAAACTAGTTAGAGTCCAGGCAGGCTAGCTTGCCCAAGATCGAACTCCAATGAGACTCCAGGACTGCAGCTCTGAGAGAGGACAGTAGCCCAAACCTTGGTGTGCCTCAAGCTTACTTCACAGAACTCTGAGCCCTCAGAGCACATGCTCACAGCTTCCTGCCCTTTTGAAACAACTGCTTCCTTGGCAGGAGAAAGTGGTGCAGTTTTTCTCCTGGAAGAGAAAGCAGGACACTAAGACAGGAACCTCAACACTGTGACACAGGGACACTGTGCCTGTGTCACTGGTCCTGGCCAGCCACCACATGTTGACAATGATTTCTCCTCCACTTCTCAGAGCAGGCATCTGTAACAAGATGGTGGTTACCAGGGATGGAGTGGGGAGTGGCTTGTCCTTTGATGGATTGCCAGCTTGGGAGTAGAACAGGCAGCCTGGGGAAGTACTGTCACACCTTTGGGGTGGGGGCAACTCCTCTGAAAAGTTGTGTTGTGAACAACTCACAACCTGTAATCTCCCCTGGACAGACACAGGCTGCTCTATGTCTCCTTGGAGCTGGAAAAACTAGACAAGTTGGTCTGGGGGAAGTGAGAGGATCTGTTAGAGAGCAGGTAGCCCAGCTTTAGAGAACTTATTGGGGAGGAAAACTTCAGAGGTAGGTGTCAGGCAGACAAGAGGTTGAGAGGCTGGTGAAAATCGGGCTGTGATTTGGGGGCCTATTCAAGGCTAAGGTAGAGCTGGGTGAGTAGTGGGCAGAAGGACTATGAGCTTGTGAAGTCAGAGGTTATAGCAGTTGGGGTAGAGGGGTATCTCAGAGTTGAGACCTAACCATATACCAGTGGTTTATAGCTGTAATCCCAGTTGCACAGAAGGCTGAGATCTGAGGATTGAAGTTTTGGTTTCTTTGTTTTTTGCCAGTCTCAGGAGGCTTGAATTCTGGGCCTGGGTGCTGTCCCCAAGCTTTTTTGTTCAAGGCTAGCAGTCTACCACTTGAGCCACAGTGCCACTCCTGGCTTTTTCTAAGTGGTTTATTAGAGAGACGAGTCTCACAGACTTTCCTGCCTGGGCTGGCTTCAAACCAAGATCCTCAAATCTCAGTCTCCTGAGTAGAATTATAGGTGTAAGCAACCAGCACCCAGGGTCTGGGAGATTCTCATTTCCAATTAACCACCATAAAATCAGAATGGAGATGTGACTCAAATGGTAGAGCACCAGCCTTAAGTGAAAAAAGTTAGTGTCCATGCCCTAAGTTCAAGACCCAGTTAAGAGAATGAGACAGAGAGACAGAAGGAGTTGGGGCACTAGGGATGAGCACCAAGGGTAGGGATGTCTCACTAGAGACTGAGGTGGACTCACTGAGCACCAGGCAAAGAGGCTGGACCAAGGCTGGGACTTGGGTTGTTAGACAGTGGTCAGCAGGGAGGAGATACAACTGGTTCTATTTCATGCATCACAGCTACCCAGGAGGAAGAGGTACAGCCACCTTGGGCCTTATCTCAGCTTCTCTCAGCATCCCAAATACACTGTTCTCCCTCTCGCTCCTCAGTCTCTGTGTCTGACCGTGCCTGGATGCCAGCAAGGCCCTCCTCTCCCCTTCACCTCAGAATGACATTTTGTCTGGGCTCCATCCTGCTCCAGCCCTACACCATGTAGTGGTATCCCCTGAGCCCCACACTCTGCCATCTGGTGGGAGATCCTTGCCTCCTGGTGGTGCATCTCTATGGAGCAATGATAGTCCTAGCTTGTCTGTGATGGGTTGGAGCACTGTGTGACTCCCATCCTCATAGGTGGCAGGAGAGTATTGGTTAAGGTTTTTCCCTCCTTTACATGTTGCTTACCTAGACAGGAGTAGGGGTCAGCTGACTTTTTTTCTTCTTTTTATTGGCAGTACTGGAATCTGAACTCAAACTCTTGTGCTTGCTCTACCACTTGAGCTACCATGCCTGTAACCCTACCTACTCAGGAGGTGAGATCTGAGGATCACGGCTCAAAGCCAGCCCGGGCAAGAAAGTCTGTGAGACTCTTTTTTTCGGGGGGGGAGGGGGGAGTTGGTCATGGGGCTTGAACTCTGGGCCTGGGCACTGTCCCTCAGCTCTTCAGCTCAAGGATAGCCCTCTACCACTTGGGCCACAGCGCCATTTCCAGCTTTTTTCTGCTTATGTGGTACTGAGGAATTGAACCCAGGGCCTCATGCATGTGAGGCAAGCACTCTACCACTGAGCCACCTTCCCAGCCC